CTCCTCTGCCCCGCAAATTCCGCGTCCCTGCAACTATAATAGGATCCCGACTGCCATTTACGGTCTAACCCTGAAGTAACGGATATCGGACCGGCTGGGCCCCGGAAACTCTAGATCCGAAACCCTCAACCTCCACCCCTCCCTAGACCCAGGAGTAACCTAGGAATAAAAAGGGTGCCCCTTTTGGTTTAAAGGGGCTTATAAGGGAACCTGAACCCTAAGAAAGGGAATAAGGGCCTACTCTAGGTCCTAGCTCCTCCTCGGAAACCCCCTAAACCCTAAACCCTAAACTCCTAAACCCTATAGATCCGAAACCCTCAATCTCCACCCCTCGTCCTCTGCCCCGGAAAATCCGCTTCAAGGCCTCCCAAACGCGGTTGCAACCACTCGCGATCGTCAGAAGCCCGGCCTGGAGAAGCCAGGGCTCCTTTGACTTACTTGTCTATAGGCTTCCTTTAAAGGGATCTATAGGGGTTTAGGGCTATTTGAAAAGGAATCTATAGGGGTTTAGGCTTCCTTTAAGGGGATCTATAGGGGTTTAGGCTTCCTTTAAAAGGATCTATAGGGGTTTAGGGCTCCTTGAAAAGGAATCTATAGGGGTTTAGGCTTCTTTTAAGGGGATCTATAGGGGTTTAGGCTTCCTTTAAAGGGATCTATAGGGGTTTAGGGCTCCTTGAAAAGGAATCTATAGGGGTTTAGGCTTCCTTTAAGGGGATCTATAGGGGTTTAGGCTTCCTTTAAAGGGATCTATAGGGGTTTAGGGCTCCTTGAAAAGGAATCTATAGGGGTTTAGGCTTCCTTTAAGGGGATCTATAGGGGTTTAGGCTTCCTTTAAAGGGATCTATAGGGGTTTGTGGCATGGACCTTTAGGTGTTATTTGGCGATCCCTGTTGTTTTACATACAAATACCTATATATGACTATTGTGTAATTATACATAGAGGCCCATGCTACATATAATATATATATATATATATATATATATATGTGGCATAGATCTTGTTGTCAGCCAGCCTCGAAGAGTTCCAAGCACGAGTCGCGGCAGTTCGCCACGAGCGTCCCGAAATGCTTTCGGGACTTGTTTTGCAAGCAGAAATCCTTCCTCTGATCTCCCCAGACCCAACATCCTTCCCAAGAGATCAAAGCAACAATTCATTGAGGTATCCCCGCTCCCATACAACAAATACTAGGCCCTCCCTCATTTATACATTTAGCCCTGTTGATTCCTTAGGAGCACGGAAATGAATAGAGGAGGTGTTTCACAGTTGCATGGCATTGCGGCACCCCTGGTAATGAATAAACCTCTAATACCGGCCCCCTCTGTATACATTACTCGGTGGTGGATTATCTCACATCAGTTGGTGAGAATACACATCAATGCTGGCAGACGCTGGTTTAGGGAGAATACACATCAGCGGGGAAATTACACATCAGAACTATCTAACCCCCAAGTAGACGCTGGTTTCAAGAAGCACGCAGCAGATAGGCCGGAGTGCCGGATTCGTCGCGGAAGCTGAGGTAAATACTACATTTTAGAGCATTGCAAGATAGGAAATCATAGCGTTTGCGATGCAGACGCTGGGATTTGGAGCAGCCCAAATGTCATCAAACGTCAGCTATTTTATGAGGGTTTCTGGAAACAGCAATATGCATATGCAAATGTATACTGTGCATGCACATACGCACACATACACAAGCACACACTCGCGCGAAGATGGAAGCACACACGCCCACGGAGACTAGCAAATGCGAGTGCGTGCTGCAGACGCCGATGAATATGAACGTGCGGAGATACAGCTTGATAATATGATGTAACGTCTACAATGCGTTCCCCCAGCTAGACGCCGTGCAGATGCGTAAAACACCCAGGTGATACGAGATAGCCCCGAAACCCAGTACAGTATTTGTGCGATACGAAATCAATCTAGAATCCAGTATACTCACAATCATGATAAGTGCCTCAATGGAAGTCAAGGAAGATTACTTGACATCCTGGATCCCTAAAGCTGATCGTTCTCAGGACTCATATTAGGAAATCACAGCGGGAAACCCTAACAAAGGTAGGTCATCCTATGTTATCTTCGAGGCAGGCTGAATACCCCAGCCCAAAAAAGGTTAACCTCATAAGACTCATAAATTGTCGTAGGATCATATGAACCCCAGCAGGATAGATAAAGGATACCCACCCAGTCAGTTAGTCGTTTGAAGTCACGGGAATGCTTAATGCCCTGAAGCCCTAAACCAAACCTTGATTAAGGGGTTCGGGTTTAAGGTTTAGGGCCTGAACCACAGGGAATCTGTGCGTCTTTGGGAAAGCGGAGTTGAAGAACAAGGGCAACCACGTTTTATACAGGGACTTATTGATGAGAACCGGGTGTGGAGGCGGAGGTTATCTTTCACAGTAGTTGCAACACATTGACATAAGAAGAATCATCCCAATTATGCCGGCCCCGAATACTGTTGATGGTCAAGATCCTGCTTTACCTTAAGTACCCCAAACTATGGGAATTATGGCATATTCCTTATAAGGGTCATGCAGGATTTTGACCAACCGTATTCATGAGTCGTGTTGATGGGAGGAAGCAGGATTCGGGATCTTTGGCTGGGGGAACTTCAAGCTTCGCGGAAAAGGGTTTAGGGTTGCGGATTTAGGGTTTAGCAGGTTTAAAGTTCATGTCTTCAGGGTGTTCGGGTTTGCAACATCTCATGAAACTTGCTAAAGCCTATAAGCCCTAAAACCAAAACCCCAAAAGCTGAACCCCAAAACCCAAACCCTAAACCCACATAAACTCTGACACCCCAAACCCTAAACCCTAAAAGCCCCAACCCTTTTAAACCCTAAACTCCAAACCGATCCAAAGTTCTACACCCTCATAAAGGCCCCTGGGCCTCAGCTCAAGCTCTCCGGCCTTGCAATACTTTTGACCACTCCGGTTAGGGCTAAACGGATTGCTCTGCCGCTTTACCCCGGCCTACGCCTAAGGAATCTTACGGTAACTTAGTTAGGTTATTTTTTTTAAGCGGCAGGCAATCCGTTTGGCACGTTCGTCCTGCTCTGCGTGTGCTGTTTGTGCTAGTGCCGGCGTTGCTTGTGCTGGTGCTAGTGTTGCTGCTGGTGCTGCTGCTTGTGTTGTAAACCCTAAACCGCTTGGTTCCTGAGTGGTACCCTCTTGCCCTTTTTGTTTTAGGGTTCAACCAAAGAGTATCAAAAAGGATACCTTATCATAATGGGTCTACTCAGGAACCTAGACCGCGAAGCAGTCACTCTAAGTGGATTGCCCCCTCACTGTCAATCATTTGGCCGAACTCGTCCTACACATCCAGTCAAGTCTAAAAAAAACCGAAACGTAAACACCGTAAAACTGACTGCTTCTTCTCCTGTCCGCAGAATTCGAGGGTCTCCGGGTCGAAGATGATTTCCTGATCGTGTTGCAAAAAGGAGTAAAAAGTAAAACTGACTGTTTCGTCTCCTTGTCGAAGGGCTCCGATTCCATGGTCTCCTGACAGGTTTACAAAAAAGGATGAAAAAATAAAACTGGCTGTTTCGTCTCCTTGTCACAGTGATCGTTATCCACGTTGATGACGTCCTGATAGTTTTGCAAAAGAAAGTGCAAAAGGAACACTGGCTGCTTCGCCTCCTTGTCGAAGGGCTCCGAATCCATGGTCTCCTGACAGATTTGCAAGAAAAATAAAACATAAGTTGGAAAAGTTTGTTCCGCCTTCGTCGGCGGAAAGAGCGGCTGCAAAGGCACCTGGGCGTTTATTTAAACGACACCGCATTTTAACAACATAAAAAATCTAAGAGCTCCACCATACAGCATTGGATTCCAACATCTCGCCGCTTTGAGCGCACCAGTCTGCCCACGGACCCTTTGGGAGCCCGCGGGACGACCTCAGTATTTCCGTTTAAACAACAACAGTCGAACACAAGAAGGCAGGGCCGGCCTTGATCTGTTTGAGGTTCATCACCTCAGAATAAAATTGGTGTCAAAGTTTTGTTTTCTTAAGTAAGACAAATGCCTTCGGCTTCAGCGGCGGTGGCGGTGGACCCTCCTCGTCAGCCTCTGTATCTATTGATTAAAAAACTGTGTATGCGAAAACAAAAAATCTCAGGCAATCGCCATCTTCAAGAAGGCACGGGGCAAACCAGAAGCCCGTGCAACAAAATCTGCAAAGTCAAATTACAAAAAGTTTAAAAAAAGCACGGGCCTCCATAGTCCGAACAGCGACTTTACAGGCAGGAAAAAATTGCTGCTCGAGCCACAAAAGCACTTCATCGACCGCATTCGGTACCAAGTTTCTACAATAAAACGCGAAAGCGCATACCTATAACGTATTCAAATTAAAGATATTTGTTCCTATTTTTGCAAAACACCAGGCTTATATATATATATATACATTAAGAAATTATCAGGGCATGTTTCCGGAGGACACCTCACAAAAGCAAGCGCGCCTATCAAATATTCAATCACATATGCAGTCCATAACATATACGCTGACACTCGGACCAGTCTTTTCTTTCATGAAAGGAAAAAGCTACAAACATTGGGGCAGCATTTGCCTTATCAAGACGTGTCTGCGGGATATTGGCCTTCTCGTCCTCATCGTTCTGCTTCAGAATCGCCACAAGATTGTTCTGCTGCTTCTCCACTGTAGGCTCCTGCACAAGCAAATCACGACAACATAGTGCGATGAATCATGGGCATTGTGCACATCCGCACATCGCAAAACTTAAAGAACAATCTGCATGAAGAAAACATAAAAAGAAAACATAGAAAGGAAACAGATACAGAGAGAAGTATAGAGAAATAGAGAGAAAGAGAGAGAAAGAGAGAGAGAGAGAGAGAGAGATAGAGATAGGAACAACGAACAAACAAACAAAGTAGTTATCTAGCGGATCCAGCGCATGCTGTGTATTGAGATGTCGGTCCTCCGGAGCACGCAGCCCACAAGCGGCTCTCATCTTTCTTTCGGTGAGACCGCTCAAGGCATAGTCTTCAATCATCTGAAAACATGCCTGCCGGGAGTAATGCGACTCGAAACCATGTTGTTGTTCCAATGCGGCTGCAATGGCAGGGCCACTCTCCAGAAAATTACGCAGAGAAGGATCTTTGACAAAAATACCATCGGCTTCCGGGTCCGGGCACGCTGCATTGAAGTCGGTGTTTCGACGAAGATCGGCTTGGGGTTCCACACGAGACAGCGCCGGTAAATGGAATTGAAATTGGTTTCCATGACGTTGCGGAAAGTCATGATCTTGTTGGTTTCAAACCGTTTGAAGCCGGTGACGCGCAACATCTTCGTCACAAAGCCGTACGGTTTCCTACCTGCCAAGTCATCAGCGGACATAAACTTCTTGTAGAGATCTTGTTGAAAATGCCGATGGGTTTCCGGAGCCTCCTGCGCTGTAATTATCCAACAATGAGTAAATTGCTCAAGTTGCTTTCTCATTTCCTCCTCATTATGAAAGAGATTCGGGTCAATAAACGCGTGGTTATGCCCGTACACCGCCGCCAAATGGCTGCTGAACAGCGATTGACCAGTGCCGCCTGAGGATTCACCAATGAAGCAGCGATCGATATTTTCTCCACGTTTTGCAAGGGCGATTGCAGCGAGAGTCGCCTTGTAATACTCTTGATTGCTCCAGAAGGTCTCCTTCAAAAGTTTCTGAAGTCTAGACCTGGCATTCTTCAATACAGGATCTGGCAATGACGCTTGTAGAGCATGGGGAATTCTGACGTAGATGTTGTTCTTCGGTGACGGCTTCACAAGCTGCACGTGTTCTTCTGGTGTGACATCATAAAGCACCGAAATGTCCTGGTAGGCACATCCACTTGCTCTGTTCGAAGGCGAATCGCACCATTGGATGACGAAGTGAAGTAGTCGTCCTCAGCTGACTCGCAGATGTTAAAACATAGGTGACGTCTCACTGAGCTAGCAACACTACGAAATACAAAAACTTGATACAACATGCTTCAACTCCAGACATCTAGAGTCGCTCTTCCAGCAAATCTTTCTGCAGCGGTGCCAAAACTTTCGAAAGCATGAAAGCTGTTTTTTCGGGCCAACCTGCGTGAGGGGACGGATTTCCTTCTTCTCCGTGGCGTGACTTGCGGCGAGTCCCCAAGGTATCTGCCATCACGGCTGTGTCTTCGCAAAGTGCCATAAACTCCGCGACGCTGTTGTAGACTGACACCACTCTGGCGACCTCCCGGACGATTGCAGAGTCCGACCGCTCTGTGGCTGGAGACATGAGTCGAAACAAGCCCTCTAATCTCAGGAGAGTTTTCTTCAGCCTGTAAAAAGTGGATTCCGGCGGAACGCCGCTGTAGGGATCGAAAGAGCCGTCGCTGTGGTATAAGAAACATACACCACGATGGGCACGAATGTACCTGTCGCCTTCAATAATCCAAACGAGACCAACAAAATCTCGAACGAAAATGTCAGTGAGGCGAGTTCTATACACATTGATAGCAGCAGCCGTCAAACGTACCATGTCCTCCGGCCATGTCGACTGCCTGAGACGAACATATGCAATTTGTTTCTTGGCCTGCTCTCTGACGGACGCCACTGGTTGGTGCTCGTCTACAGTAGGACATGCAGTCAAGGACGACGAACACGCCGCGACTGTGAGATCGAATAAATCCTGAAATTCTTGGCTAGAGGTGGAGGCTCCAGGCATGAGGCGCCTTTTTTTGGCAAAACCGATAGCCTCCGCAGGCAGGCCGGTTGCAGCTTCCGCAACACTCGCCAAGGCTAGATCATTCTGATGTTCCGAAGCATTCTCAGTCAGTGCCAGCGCCAATGAATCACGCTTCTGCTCTGCCCTGTCCTCGGGTGACTCTGCCACGTCCATCTCCGCCAGTTCTGCATCCAGGCGAGCATTGAAGGACGACTGCGAGTCACCCTCGTCAGCTCTCCTGCTGCCTCCAACGTAGTCCAGCAGCTGGCTTGGGCAGCGCGAACAGACGCGGGTCGGCTGCTGTTCGACGTGAGCTGCGCAAACCCACGTGTGACAAAGCGGACACAGACGCCAGCGAGGCAGGAGTAATCCAGCTTCTTCATTACAGATGGTGCACCTGATTCCAGCAGTCATCTGAACCGGCGGGCGCAGTGGGCGAAATTGAAGCATGTTCTGTAGATTTGGAGTCGGACGTGCAACAGCCCACGGATCCGGGTATGCCGCTGCATCGAAGGCGGTGTCCTCCCTGCTGATGTATAGCTGTTGCTGCTGTTGCTTTTTTCTTTTGGTGAGTGCCACTGACTGATGTTCGCAAAAAATGTGTGAATGTAACACTGGTCGCCACTGGCTTGTCAAATGATGTTGTTTTATTGTATTATGTATTTATGTATTGGTCTGGAAGAGCTTTGTTCCTGCATTCCAGCCAGGCTCTGGATTTGATTTGAGGGCAGAATTTGTATTGCTTGCTTAAAGTCCGTGGCGCATTGCGTTAACGCAGCTCGAAATGCTGAAAAAAAACTTTTACCTGGAGGTAAAAGTTTGTTTTGTATGTTTGCAGCATGCCAAACCTTAGATTTCTCTTTGGGAAACAGTTTTTCCATGTCTGCATACGCTCCTGTTCAGCTGAATTGGACATCGGGCTGCTTTTCTGGAGCTCGAAATGCTTGAAAATGAACTTTTGGCGCGTGCAAAAAGTTTTTTTGTGTGTGTTTCCAGCTGTGTTTCCAGCATTCCAGAGTTTGGGTTTGTCAATGTTGAGACAGATATTTGTGTGTTGTTTGCTCAAACTGCTTTCATTTCCATGCTCCTGTTCGGCTGAATTGGACAACGGAGTGCCTCTACTGGAGCTCGAAAGGCTTGAAAATAAACTTTTGGTTGGCTCCAAAAGTTTCTTTTTGTATGTTTGCAGCGTTTCAGACTTTGCATTCGATTTTGGGAGAGGGATTTGTATTGTATGCTTTGGGAAACAGTTTTTCCATGTCTGCATACGCTCCTGTTCGGCTGAATTGGACAGCGGGTTGCTTTTCTGGAGCTCGAAATGCTTGAAAATAAACTTTTGGCCAGTGCAAAAAGTTTTTTTTTGTGTGTGTTTCCTGCATTCCAGCCAGGCTCTGGATTTGATTTTGGGGCAGGAATTTGTATTGTGTGTCCCAAACCCTGAACCCTTAAAGTCCTTGGTGCATTGCGTCTGCGCAGCTCGAAATGCTGGAAAAAAACTTTTCGATATAGGTAAAAGTTTGTTTTGTGTGTTAGCAGCATGCCAGGCTTTGGATTTCTGTTTGGGAAACAGTTTTTCTATGTCTGCATACGTCCTTTTCGGTTGAATTGGACAGCGGATTGCCATTCTGGAGCTCGAAATGCTTGAAAATAAACTTTTGGCCAGTGCAAAAAGTTTTTTTGTGTGTGTTTCCTGCATTCCAGGCTTTGGATTTGATTTTGGGGCAGAATTTGTATTGTGTGCTTAAAGTCCTTGGCACATTGCGTTTGCGCAGCTCGAAATGCTGCCAAAAAAAACTTTCCCCTGGAGGTAAAAGTTTGTTTTGCATGTTTGCAGCGTGCAGGAAACAGTTTTTCCGTGTAAGCACACGCTCCTGTTCGGCTGGATTGGACAACAGATTGTTTATCTGGCGCTCGAATGGCATGAAAATAAACTTTTGCCTGGAGCGAAAAGTTGTTTTGTATGTTTTCAGCTGTGTTTCCAGCATGCCAGGCTTTGGATTGGTTAATGTAAAATGTAAGCATATGCTCCTGTTCGGCAATTGGACAACAGATTGCCTCTCTGGAGCTCGAAAGGCTTGAAAATTAATTTTTGGCTCGCTCCAAAAGTTTTTTTTATTTGTTTCCAGCGTTCCAGACTTTGCATTCGGTTTTGGGAGAGGGATTTGTATAGTGTGCTTTGGGAAACAGTTTTTCTATGTCTGCATACGCTCCTCCTGTTCGGCTGAATTGGACAGCGGATTGCCTTTCTGGAGCTCGAAATGTTTGAAAATAAACTTTTGGCCTGTGGATTTTTTTTGTGTGTGTTTCCAGCTGTGTTTCCAGCATTCCAGAGTTTGGATTTGTTAATGTTGAGACAGTGCAGCATTTCAGCCGAACAGGAGCATCCGCATACATGGCTAAACTCTTGCCCATCTTTAACGAAAAATCCAAAGCCGTGTAGGTTTGCTTCTCGCAGAAGCCTGCTAGGCTACTCCTGTGCTTGATTGCCGTGTTGCGACATTCTCTTGCTAGAGAAATGTCGTTGGGGTCGCTGCTCTGGACGACGATGGGCGTCATGGAGGGCCTCTTGTCAGATGGCAGTTTCTTGCCGTCTTCCCGTCGGAGCTCTTTTGCGGGGGTCGCAAAATTGAATGCCTGGCCATGTCCCTCAAGTGCTGTGCAGGTTCGCATGAGTGCGCTTGCCAGGGCTGGAATGTTGCTAACTCAACTCCGTGTATGCCTACATTGCATCCTAAATACACGCTGGAAACTCGAATGCAACTATACGTGATTTGGGGGTACATTGCTACTGTTGCCAGGCGGGCTGAACTCTCATGAACGTGTTGAAACAGCTGCTTGCAAGTTCTACAGTGCGGCCACGATATTTATTTCAATGACACAAATGCAACTATCCTTGTTGGTATATATATTTGTATATATACATACGTACACACACATATATATATATATATATATACACACACACATATATATATATATATAGAAATATATATATGTATGCATGTATGCATATATGTATATAGATGCATACATATATATATATATATATATATATATATATACATGCATAGCACTGTGGCACTGCATGATGCTGTACACATTCCAGGAACGAAGCATGCTTCACCCCGTACTTGCAACTACTTTATGTTTCAGGTGCCATGTTAGCCGACTTCTTGAGGTGTCGTTGAGGAGGCTGGGGCTGGAGTGACTGGAGGATAAATAAATGGAGTTACTTGGAGTTCCGTTCTCGACCAGGTGATGCCGACGGAGTTCAGGAAATTCCCAGCGCTCCATACTCAGTGCCAGGAGTGCAGTTATAATTCGTCCTACACGTCATCTCTGTCATTCAGGTATATAAGCCTGTAGTTACAGTTGTAGTCTTATCAACCCAGGGGAAACAGTGGCAGGACAGCGACTCCCTAGAATTCAAGCCTCGGCCTCCCGAGAATTTATGTCACAGCTGCCAGCTGTGCATCACGACTGCGTGTGACACGACTGTACTCCGTCGCACTGGTCGTGTATGCTTTCTTTTCTGAGGTAATTGAATATTCAAAGTTATAGATTGAAATAACAATATGTTGTTACATAACTAGTTTTTTTACATTTGTTTTGGTCCGTTGTCACAGTGGCCATGTGACGCTGGGTTGATGTATAAGTGTTGCTCTTGTTGCGGTCTTCGGGCTTTCGATGGTTGGGCGTGCCGCTGAACGCTTGGGTGAGAGCCCGCCCTTGCGCCGGGGTGTCCTCTCACCATGCGTGGCCAGGTGCGTCAGGTGAGCTGTGGGGGGGTCCGCGACACCGCTTGGTGAGAGCTGGGGGGGTCCGCTGGCGGTGCTAGCGGACCCCCCTAGCTCTCGCCAAGCGGCGCCAGCGACGCCTGGTGAGAGGACTCCCTTGCGCAAGAGCGGGCTCTCACCAAGCGTTCAGCGGCATCTGCACATCCCCGCCAACTGTGACCGGTCGCAGCTGGCGAGGTTGTGACGTATAACCGTTGCGGTGGCCGCGCGGGGTGACGTATAGCCGTTGCGGCCATTGCGGCCCGTGCCGGCCGTTGCAATAGTTACAAGCATACACGACTACAAATATGTACAAAAAAAGATTCTTGCTTGAGCCAACAGCTATTTCAGGCTAAAGACAGTTCGTCGTCAAATTCCACCGGACAACGGAATCTTGTCTTGGGTCTAGTGTAGAGTCTAGTGTCATATATATATATATATGTATATAGATAGAGTCTATTACTTGGGAAAAGGGTTTGCGAAAGCAACTAGGTCACATCCCTTAAAACAAATTCTTGGCTCGAGCCAAGAGTTTATTTGAAACATTTCGAGCTAAAGGCAAGTCGCCGTCCAATTCCACCGGACAAAGGAGTCTTGTTCAGGTCCAGTCGATTATTTAAGGATCGTCTGAGTTTCAACGTAAAACGTTTCGCATTGCCATGTGCCAAGGCAACAGCCCCTCCAGAGCAGGAAACGACCAAGGCCAAGCCCCCAGCCCCCGCCGGCCCTAAGGAAGCAGGCCCATCCCAGGCTCCGCAGGCCCCTCCAGCAGGCAAGGCAGGAGGCCCTGCAAAGGCCAGTCAGATTGTGTCCGCAGCAGAGGCCCTTGCAAAGGCCAAAGCTGGCCAGCCCTAGAATCTGTGTGAGCTTTCGACGGCTGAATGCTACTTCTGAAGGGGTGCAGCCTCAGCAGGACCTCAGCCTCAGCAAGGCCTTAGTAATTCCTTGGTAAGGCCTTGGTAGGCTCTCGGTAAGCCCTCGGTGGGCTCTCGGTAGGCTCTTTAGGCTCTCGGTAAGGCCCTCCCCAACCCCCCCCTAACCCCCCCTGACCTCCCTTCCGAGCCACCTCGCCCAGCTGCCACAAGAGCCTCCCCCTGTCCACCGTGGACCCCCCACCAACCACATTGCTGAGGCTGCTGATGCTCGGGTACCACGAACGCGCGCGCTGTACACGAGCATCAGCGGCATCAGCGGTGTGGGTGGTCTGGAAAGGGGTATGAAGCCCCGCCAGCCGTGGGCACCGTCCCGCAGAGAGGGACAAGGAGTGATGCGTATCTGACCCAGCAAACGTGTTTAAACCAGATCGAGGGTCACTTCTGCGTCTTCACACTTTCCGTTTCCTTGGCACAATAGCGCCCCCCACCACAGCAGACCACACCTAAAAATCAGCATTTTACAACCCCCCATTCTCGGCTCGAGAATGGGGGGTTGTCCGAGGCCCAAAAAACAGGTTTTTACAACCCCCCACTCTCGGCTCGAGACTGGGGGTTTGTCCGAGGCCTAAAAAACTGATGCTCTCAGTGCGACCGCACCTCTAAAGTTCCCCGGCGACCGTGCCTTTGTTCCCTTTGAAATTGTGACAGCAAGGCTGATGCTCACGAAGCTCGCTTGTGTGCGGTTACACTCTTGTCTTGGCTGGGCGGGATCCCTGCTCAAAAGGCTGGGTCACCAAGG